GAATTTAACTTAATCATGTAGACAAACTATTCATTTTTGTCCATTTTACGGTTTGTTAAAATAACATCCCTCTCTCATACTCTTGTTACCCAAATGAAATACTAATCTAGGGTCAAGATGAGAGAAACGACTGAGATTAATATCTTTACTAAAATAACCAATAAATTTTGTTAAATTAAAAGAAATAAGTTACAAAGTCATGGTTTGAATTTGATTATAAATCTGAGGTATATTCATTATGCTACATTGCTTCTCCTGAAGTCAGGATATCAAATCAAGCAGGCAAGCAAACAAAACACCTCAAGATCAAGAACGTCTCATATTGTGGAGAAAAATAGATAATGAGGACCCCCCCCAAAAAAGCATCAAAATGCCTAGTGAAAATGTATTAGAAATTTAAGTACATAATTATAATTACTGAGAGATTTTCATAATATTGCCTCACAGATCAAGTAAAGTTTTTAGAAAACTTATATACCAAAGCAGAAAGACTGGGGCCTGGGATTTAGCCCAGTGGTTCTGCTGCCTGCCTTGCAAGTGCAATGACCCGAGTTCGATCCCCGGTACCAAAAAAAAAAAGAAAAGTCAAAGCAGAAAAAATGATCATATAAGCCAAGAAAATATACTATTATGGGAGCTCTAGTGGCATAATTGGTTAGTATGCAGAGCTTACACAGAATATACTATTATACGTCATTTTCTTTAAGAATATAAATGAAGAACTAAATGTTAGAAAATCAGCCCAATGGGTCAGTCCAAAGATATCAGTGTTCTTTTTCAGCTTTAGAATGGCTTCAGCTATAGATACTGAAATTATTGGTTATAGAATATAAAATAGCATATTGAAATATCTAAATCTTTAATATTTACCTAAGTGGAAATATGAGTAAACAAGACAACCTTAAATGACCAAAATCAGTGACTTGAAACAAAAGAAAATTTGAATGGAATATGACACAGACAAAGATATGAAAAACATTCACGTTGAGTAAAGAATATCATAAGGCTATGTGTTATATAAAATTAAAGTTGTAGAAAGTGGAAATATAGAGAATAGATACATAAGAAATGTCAGAGTCATAAGTAAAAATTTTCCAGAACTAATGAGACATGAAACTAACAAAGAGACATGTGAACTGAAGAAAACCCACAAATAGAAGAAAGCCACATACACATACACTGTAGCAAAATTACAGAATACCAAAGACAAGGATCCTAACCTGAAATAAAAGTCAAATCTACAAAGGAACAGGAATTAACAGCCAAAATGGAAAACAGAAGCAGCAGAATACCTTCAAAGGGTTAAAGTCTGTGCTACCATAGGAGGGTTTGGTTACCCACAGAATCTGGAAAAATGCACAGTAGCAACTGCCACCCATCTAAAGCTTTTGTTTCTTGGGTTTTTTCCCCCTCATTGATTTAACAAAATACCTCAAGGTAAGTAGCTTACAATAAGAGAAATTTCTTAGCATTCTAGAGGCTGGGAAGTCCAAGGAGTGCTGGCAGATTCAGTGTATGGTGAGGGCTCTCTCCAAAGTCTGCATGGCACCCTCTCCATGTGACAGCAGCGCCTGCTTCCAACTCTTCTGTGAGGGCACCAATCCCACCCGGGAGGACAGAGCTGTCATTGCACCTAAAGGCCCACTCCTTAATACTGTTCCATTGTGGGTTATGGATTTTGAAGGGACGCAAACATTGAGACCGCAACACTCTGTCCAGAGGAGTGGCGCTCTCCTGTCGCGGCCGGGCCCCGCCAGTGAGGACTGGATAGGACACCGAGGCAGAGCTGGTGCTAAGTCCTTGTCTAATGCCTCTGCAGTCCTTGTTTGTACTTCAGCTTCCTGACTATGTCTGAGACTCCTCAGCTACTCTGCTTACAGTGAGCACAAGTGCCTGACGCATGAACTTTGGATAGTTTGCAAGTTATTTGGCAATTCAAATAGTTTGTTTCCGAGAAGGGAACATGTGAGGAATGACTCAAGAATCTAGGTTTCCTGATGGTCCCTTCTCAATTAAAAAAAAAAAAAAAAAAAAAGGAGATACAGTGTTAGATATTAATATTTTTTAACAATAAATTTTATTTTATTTGATCCCATTGCTCCCTCAAATCCCTCTGCCCTTCCTATATACAAAAGCTTTATTTCCATTTTTTTCTAGTTTCACTTTTCTTGCTCCTTTCTCGCTCCTTACTCCCTTGTTCCCCTTCCCGCTTGAACACTTTCTTCCCATTTCCCAACATCCATTACACGTTTCACTTATTTCCACATTCAATTTCTCAAACCAGAGAAAAAAATTTTATATTGAAACACATGTCTGATTTATTTCACTTAAGAGTATGGTCTCAAGGTCCATTTATTTAGCTGTAAATGTCTGAAGTTCATCCTTCTTTATGGCAGAGTAGAACTCCATTGTATATAAAAACCCCACATCTTCTTTATCCACTCGTCGGTTGACGGGCATTTGGGCTGTTTCCAAGGTTTAGCTATTACAAACTTTGCTGCTATAAATATGCATATGTATATATCATTGTGGTATGATGCTTTTAATTCTTTTGGGAATACATCAAATGGAGGCTCTAGTTTTAATTTTTTGAGAAATCACACTGATTTCCACAGTCTACACTCCCACCAGCAGTGGAGAAGCGTTCCTTTTCCCCCACATCCCCTCCAGCATTTGTTATTGGTTGATTTCTTGATAGCAGCCATTCTTTCTGGAGTGAGATGAAATCTCAGCATTTTTATTTGCATCTCTTGAATGACCATCTTGAATGATGGTGAATATTTTTTCATATATGTATTTGCTGTTTCTAATTCTTTATCTGAGCATCATCTTTTTATTTCTGATGCCCATTTTCCATTGGGTCTTTAAATTTGTGGGGGGTACTTTTTAAAAAGTTATTTATATATTCTAGATAATCTTTTATCTGAATAGCTTGTAAAAATGTTTTTACACATTGCGGGTTGTCTCTTTGCTCTTGGTGGTTTTCTTGCTGTGCAAAAGCTTTTTAGTAAGACGAAGTTCCAGTTGTTGATTCTATGTAGTATTTCCTGTGTGGTCTGGGATTTATTCATGAAGTCTTTGCCTACTCCTATATCCTCAAACATTCTACCTGTTCCTTTCTTCCAGCAGATTGGGTGTTTTTTAATATTTAGATCTTTGATCCATTTGATTTTAGGTCAGTGCATTTTGAAAGATATGGGGCTAGTTTCAGTCTTTGGGATGTGGAAAGCCATTTTTTTTTTTTTGTATAGTCACAAAGGAACCTAGTGTTTCATACTGCTCATCTTTACAGTATAATTGTGATATGTGTAATTTTGCCACAATACTTCTTCCTCCTAGGATCGTGGCTAAGAGGACTCTGGGTGGGTAAGGGAAAAAGAACATCCTGCCACACATAGGCTAGGACAGTCATCCCTGTAATAACAGTGTATTCATGCCCACACAGTCAATATAATGTTTTCAGCAGGAGAGAACTTAAGGAAAAAGGGCAGAAAGCCATGGTAATATTATTTTATAACTATTAGATTGTTATATGATATTATATTGAAGAAGCTTGCGCTCACAGAAAGATGGGAGAGAGGAGAGGATGAGAGATCAGAGAGGAGGTAAACCAATGATCAAGGGTCTTGTGGAGACAGGAGGATGGGGTCTCAGAATGTGGAATGTCTTAGCCTGCAGTTACCTTCATCTTGTCTTTTGCCTTCCTCCCCATCCTCCCTTAGACATCCTCCAGTGTCTCTGCCTTTGATCACTTTCTTCCACTCCGTGGAGCTATCTGTTCCTTCCTGTTTCTCCTGGGTCTAGCATCCACCTCCAGGGGTGCCCCAGTGTCTCTATCCTGTGAATTCTGTTTACCCTTGTCTCTCCTAATTGGAGGTAAGTTCCTCCAGCGTCAGTTATTCGCATCTTTTGTCATGCTTCTGGCGTACAGAAAATGCTTGATCAACGAACTCGCTGTACTTCCTGGAACTGTAGCAAATTGTTATAGTTCAGAAATCCAAAATAAGCTAGATCTCCCTTTCAAAGAGAGTTGCTGAGCCTGTGAGGTAAAAGCATCCTATTCTCTTCTGGGATATGCAATAACTACTAGTTCTTTTAGGACCTTAGGGTCCTCAGTAACTGACATTTATAATTTTTGGTCAGTTGAACTCAAGGTCTTGAGTCCCCTGTCCAGGACCTGGCACCGTAGCCACCCCCTAGAACATGGCAGGTGCAGTCAAATGGGACTGTGTTTCATTTATGTGTTTCGTCAGCAAGAATAGGTCAGTTTTTGGTAGACTGTGCTCTAGAGCCAGCGCAAAGAATTCAGGTGACGTCTGGCCAGATGGTGAGGCAGGTGGAACTACCTGGAAGTAAGGTCTTCACCTCTGGAACCAGGTACAGGACTCTGCCACTGAAGGAGAACAGACAAGAGAAAGGTTGGTACTGAATTTAGAGAAAAGGCCACGGAGCTCAGGTGTGAGATTGGGTCAGAGAGCATAGGCAGGCTCTTGGTGAGGCTTGATGCTGTGCATTCCAGGTGAGGCAGAGGCAGATTTTCAGGCAGAAAGCAGCCAAGGTGAAAAAATAGCCCAGCTGAGCAGTGGAGAGAGGACATGTGTCTTCAAATGTCTCTGCAGTGGGAAGGCAGTGACAAGTGACTTGAAGACCAAAGGAGGACAGTTCTTCCCTCTCTGACCTTGAGCGTGCTCTCTAACCTCTCTGAGGCTGTTTCTTCTACGAAAGAGATCAGGTAACCATATTCATTCCCTAGAGGATTATTGTGTGGAAAAGGTGCCTAAATTCATGAACAGGACTTTCTTCATATTTTGGCCCTTGATGTTTGAGCAATGACAGTTTTCTGTGTGAATCTAAATCATAAGGTGCCTTTTGATGACTTTAGAGGGCTATGAACATGGAAGTTGATCATGAGCATGGTTATCTATTTTTCACAATGTACTGGAAGTCCGGGAAATGTGTGAGGGCTCCGAAGGCTGGACACTCGGAGGATCGGGCTCCTCCCACTTTCACTGATGGCAAATGAGGACCCTGGACTGGAGCAGAGGCTGACTCAGGAATTGGGGCAAACTTGTGGGCCCAACACCAGAGAACAACTGTGAGGGCAAAGGCGGCATTTTTCCTTACTATGGCGGCACCGGGCAAACTATTGATGCTGGAAAACTTCATAGATGGGAAATTTTTACCTTGTAATTCGTATATAGATTCTTATGATCCATCCACAGGGGAAGTGTACTGCAAGGTGCCAAATAGTGGAAAAGAAGAGGTGAGTGTATTCACATAGAGAAGACTGAACGATACTTAAAATGTGGACAAAGTATGGAAAACTTTCTTTTCTAAAAGCAAAAATTGTGAAATTGTTAAATATTAGTGGAAGATTAAGAAAGGTTATCTTGTAAAGTTACCACTATATTTAGAAGCATGTCATTTTCTAGCCAAACTAACACACAGTGGTGTGTGTAGGATTTATTTTTTGGTAAGTTTCAGACTCTTAATAGGTGTATAATATTACAGATTATTTATAAGAATTATCATTATTATTAAGTATATTCTTTCATCTACCAAATGTCACATAAATTTGCCACTAGATCCATGGATTTCTAAAAAATATGCTGGTGATCAATCTCTAATAATTCCTCATGTTTTCAAAATACCTAGAGTATCAAAATCATTTGGATGATGAAACTAAAAATCAAATTCTTATGTAATTTTTCAATTAGATTTAATTATTTTTTACTCAAAGTGCTTAATGTCACATGCATTATGCTTTCTTTTCTTTGAGTGATGAACTAATTCTATAAAATATTTGAGACATGTTTTATTAGTTATCAGTTACTCAACCGAGAGTGTAAATATATATGGGGTGGTAAATATAGCTGATAAAATGCCCAGCCATCTAATGCTCAATGGGTTATAATTTATTTTTTAAAGCCCAAAGAACTAGATTATTTAAAATACAGTTGTAGCCTTCATATATCAATAGCAGTTATACGCAAAGTCTTTTTTTAGAGAATTCAGTTTTTCTCCACTGTTAAAATTTTAAGTCTGTTTTGCATTTAAAAAAACCTTTAGACTTGTGGACTAATGTTCATAAGTATTGGCTAATTGATTGGTTAAACTGTAACACGAAATCTTGTTTGTTTCAAAGGACCCAGATTAGATGAGAAATCTAACTGTCTTTTCTACTCTTCCTTGTCTTGCAGTGTTTCTCATGTGAAGTTAAAAGTGACAAATATGTCAAATTTAGGTGGAATGCTTTCTAGAGCTAACATACCTTCGCAGAGAATAGAATGAAACAGAAAATAGCACTTGTTATTACAGTAATCATTTTTACTTCTCAGAAATCCCACTCAGTCACCCCATGTAATCCCTTCAGTCCCATATATTTTAGATTGAAAAAAAAATGATGACCATAAAAATACATGCAAAACTTCTCCATCACTCACAGAATGTGCTTCTGGTGCTGCTCCCAGTGCCTTCCATTTATTCAGCTTCAGTTATAGACCTCACATTCACCAAGCTGTTTAACTGGGAGCAGTGGTAGCAGCCTAGAAATGCTCTTATCATTCTTATCTGGCAGAGCACAGTGTGCTAACACTTCCAACTCTGACACTAGCTCAGTGGACACACATACATGTGTACACACTTGTGCACACACTTGTTGCAGTCCTATTGCTTTATAGCACTGTAGCCGTAAGCGTGGAGTCAGACTGCTTAGCCTCAAAGACCAGCTCCACCACTTGGCATCCGGGACCTTGATGTAGAGCTCAACTTCTTCATGCCTCAGTCTCCCCATTTATAAAATGAGGACAGTAACACTTCCTCAATACCTAGTATTCTGAGGATTAAATGGCCTAACACATGTAAAGCACTTAGTGCTTAGTGAATAGTAAACACTTTCTAAGTATCAGTGTGTGGTAATATTATTGCATGCAGTAGATTAATATGTGTCCTACATTGTGTACATAAGACATGTGAAGTAAGACTACTAAGAAAATATGAGTGGACTTGAATAGCTAAAGATTGGCTTTTTAAAATTGCCTATTGTAGGAATTAGTATTCATGTGGTTGGTTGGCCGTGGACTTCTCCATGCTGCCACTTGAGGTGGAGAGCACCAAAGCCCACATCTCTTCTCTCATCCCATCTCCAGCCCCACATTGGACAATCTTTAACATGAAACTACTATCTTTCATCTTCTTTATTTCCATGCTGGCGATGAACCAAGAGTCTTGCATGTTTTGGTTAAGTGCTCTACCACTGAGGTACTTCATCAACCCCCTTAATTATAATCTTATACCTTACTGCATCTCAGCTGGAAGTAACTTTGGGCCTCAAGGAAACGAAGGACAGCAGTGGAATGGGTTTCAGTGAGGGCATTGTCTTAGGCTCAAGAGGCTGGGTGGTGAGGTCATGTGACACGAGAAGGCTACTTGTGGCTGCCAGACTCCCCTGGAAAAGGGTTTTAAGGGTGAGCTGGGACCCACAGGCAGAAACAGATGTAAGTGATTATCAGTAGTCATCATGCACATGGGAGAAAGCAAAGGAATGACATAGGCTATGTATTTATTGTCTGTAGAAAAGGGACAGCTTAGACATTGCCTGAGAGAAGAGAGGCAGAAAACACTGAAACATTCACTTTGGTCATAAGTTGGTCCCACACATACATTATCACATTTTCTATGTTTAGTACCAGGGATCTAACTCAAGACCTTGTGCTTGCGAGGCAGGCAGCAGCACCAGTGAGCTAAATCCCCAGCCCAACACGTGTTGTTTCCTTATGGATGTAGCCCCAAAATTAGATCCCCAGCTTTTGTTCAACCCTGGGTCCATTCTTCTCCAACAGAGTCCCCTTCCACTGGCAAGGGACAGGGACAGTGATTATACCATAGGACATTAGATTGTGATCTTGATGCTACAAAGAACTGGGTATGAATCTTGATTGTGCCACTTAGTATCTGTGTGACCACTGGCAAGTTACCTGAACTTTCTGTGCCTTAATTTCCTCACCTGTTCAAGATATAGGATTTTAAAGGTAGTTAAATGAAATACTTTGTGTATTTAGTCAATGAGAATTTTCATTGCTAATGACAGAAAAGGGATATGATTTCACACAAAACTTTAGCCTTTATAAAATGTTAGAGCTGGACTAAGAGTGTTAGAGATTCTGTGCATCTAGACCAAGTTTCTCCTCCACACAATATTCATTCTAGATACTTTGGTGGAAGTGGAGTGTTTTTCTTTGTTTTTGTATAAACACCTATGTGTCATCTACTCACAGTAGCTTGGAACTAGGTCACGTTGAATAACTGAAATTAGGCAGAAAAAAAAATCACATGTGTAGGGACCGTGGAGTCACTCTACCTCCAGCCTCTCTGGAACAGCAGCTTTATAGCGAATTCTCCTGTCTTCTCAAGATTGAAGCTGCTGTCCAGGCTGCCAGAGCGGCCTTTCCTGGCTGGTCATCCAAGAGCCCCCAGGAGCGTGCACAGGTGCTGACCAGGCTGGCTGACTTGCTGGAGCAGTCCCTGGAGGAACTGGCCCAGGCGGAATCTAAAGACCAAGGTGTGAGCCCCCTCTGGCAGGACTTCAGCACTCATCTGTCTTCTGTGCTCTTTCTAGCAGAGCTAGAGTGCAGGTTTGAGTGCAGGTGTCGCTTACTACATGTAGCATGTATGATGCAGATACTGGTCATTGCTACCCTAATTTACATTTGTCAGATGATCTCTTGCCTCCTGAGTGTAACGAGTGTGACTCAGGACACCTGTGATTATTCCTGTCCCTCCTGGGACGCTAGGCCAGCCCTCAGGTGTGCTTCTCACAGTAATGTCAGGGGTGAAGGTCCAAACACCGAAGGCCTCAGAAGGCCAAGGCTTGCAGCTGTCACGCTCCTGCCCCATTCAAAGTCATGTGGCTGACCTCAAGGTCAAAGGGCAGGGACATACAGTGTCATTTGATGGAAGCAACTGCCAAGATGCATGGCAAAGGCATGGATCTGGGGGAGAAATGAGGAGCTAGGGCTGATCATGCAAGATTCCACCCACAATGAGTAGAGGATCTCAAAGCCAAGCTAGGGCCAGGGATTTAGCTCAGTGGTTCCACTGCCTGCCTCGCAAGCACAAAGTCCAGAGTTCGATCCCCGGTACCAAAAAAAAAAAAAAAAAAGGAAAAAAAAAAAAAAACAA